TATCTATCTATCTATCTATCTATCTATCTATCTATCTATCTATCTATTATTTTAGCAAATAAAATCCATAGTAAAACAACTCTCAAAGTGCTTTAAGAACATGCTACTTAAATTCAACAACAAAATAGACATTTTTGAATAATACAATCCTGATAAAATAATAATAATAATAATTGAATAAATGGAAGTTTGAGGTATTTTAGAGATGAACCATTTTCATCCTTATTCCCCACTACAGCAAAAATGAAAAAGAAAAGAAAGAAAGAAAAGTAAAATGATGCCACTGGAATTTGTCAGCAAAATTTAGCAATGCAATTTGGACTCCTTTTAAAATTGTGTTTTGAGTATTGCATTGGTAGGATTTGTAGTGGGAGTACTCTGGGAATAGTATTGCTTCTATCATTTTAAAATCCTATGCTGATGGTCTTCATTTAGCAACCACAATTGGAACTGGCAATTTAGTGAGCAAGTAAAGCAGTCACTAAATTGAAATATGCTGAAGATCTTACTTCAGTTCATCTACAAAGGTCATAAATGTGAGGATTAGTCATAAAGTTACTTTTTCATCATAAAGTTACTTTTTAATCACTGTTGTAACTGCAGATATTTGCTAAATGAGATAGTTGCTAAACAAGAATTACATGTAAAATCACTGAAAGCCACAAAAAAGTACCGAAGATTTCAAATATCCCCCTTTACTGACAGCATCAAGAAGACTTTGTCTTGCAAGAAGCCAGTTGTGTTCTCCAGCCTAGAACAAATTGTCTATCCTTGTGTTATACAGAAAGGAATGAAGAAGAAAACAGGAAAAGAGTTATACAAAAGGAACAACACCCATCCCATCACCAAAAAAAATTTTTTGGGAGAGAGGAGAAGGAAATGGATTACTATTGGGCATGTATTTCAATATTTCTAGGCATCCGCTCAATTGTATCACAAGCTGCATCTGAAAATGAATTTACTGAATATGTTCCATTAGTAGTGAAAAATAAAACAGAATACATGCAGACTTTGATTATTGCATAGAATAGTTCCATCAAATGAAAACAATCCTAATTCAGATAATTTATTAAGAAAATCTTTGTTGGAGCCAATTATTAATTCTGTGTGTATTTAGGGGGATTTTCTAAGCCACCTGTTAGGAATGATAGTCACCTAACAGTTGGGTAATATATAAACCAGGATAGTTAATTTAAGATTGCTGTATCTTTAAGAGAATGCTGTAATTGTGATAGGCTGAGGTTCTTCCAACGGCCATAAGATGGAGCCAGAAACCTGGTTTGTTCTTCTTGCATTTCCTGTATTGCCGTTTTGCCTGATCGTCATTCTGCTTGGATTGCTGTGAGTCTTGCAACTGTTCTCAAACTCCATTTACTGAACTTTGTTTATGATACTGGACTTTGTTTTTGGATTATCCCTGGACTGATACTAACTGCTTTAACCGTGTATGATTTGGACTGTTTGTTGGACTTTGTTTACCCATTTACTGGAAGTAAAACCTTCATTTTACTATTCAGTGTATCTGTATGCTGGTTGTGTGTTATTCAACATCACTCTCACTATGTTTCCCTGAGTGCACTCATTCTCCTAATGGGGAATACCTCAATACTGGTTATGGGCCCAGGACATACCAGGCTCAGAAAACTGAGAATAGTACCATAGACAGCTCTTTACTGTTTAATTGTGGGTTACTGTCCTGGAAAAGATGGCACAAGACCCTTCAACAAGTCTATCACTGGTACCCTGGTTGGATGGAACAAACTATGTTTCCTGGTCTACTTCTGTGCAGGGAAGGGTTATGGGCTGGAGTTCAAGATCCACCAGATGTAAATGCTCGGGATCCAACTAATGAGGACAATGCCAAAAAGTTAGCTGACTTTAAACAGAACAACAAATGAGCTCTTTGTATAATTGGACTAACACTGAGTGACCAGCAGCTAGTCCATATTCGTGGAGAAGAGTCTGCTGCTAGGTGTTGGGAGAATTTGAAGAGGATGTATGTTCGTGACAGTGTAGGTGCACACATACATCTTACATGTAAACTGTTTAGAGCACGTCTTTTGAAAGGTGGAGATATGTTAGCTCATTTGAACTTCTTGAAAAGAACTTTCCAAGAGCTACATGAAAAGGAACTGATTTTTTCAGAGCTGCATCAAGTTTACACCATTCTTTCCTCATTGGATGAAAGTTATGATGATTACGTATCTTCACTGAAAGTCCTACCCAGAGATGAACTGACATTGGCTGACATAACCGGACGCTTGTTAGAAGAGGCAAGAAGAAGGCTGGAAAGAGACCAACTGAGAGAGAAACAACCACAAGAAGAGGATTTGTGTTCAACTGCCTATACTGTTAGGAAATGTTTTTCTTGTGGGGCTAGGGGACATATAGCTAGATTCTGTAAGAAGGGGAAACGACAGAATACTGGTAATCACCAGAAGGCTAAGAAGAATGTTAATTTAGCTATGTCTAGCAATTCAACTGTAAACTGTAAACTGTGGGTTGTTGATAGTGGAGCATCGCAGTTCATTACTAGAAATAGAGAGGTTTGTAAAGATATCCACAAGTAAGCAACATGTATCATTGGCAAATGGATGGAAGATGAAAGTATCTGGTGAAGGTACTGCATATTGTTCATGTGTAAATGAGCATTTATCTATGTTATATATACCTAAACTGAAATTTAATTTGTTATCAGTAAGGGCTTTAGTTAATATTGGTTATGTAGTAACCTTTAGGGGAGATAATTGTATAATAGAAAAAGAGGGTAAAAGTGTTACTGCTACTTTAGAGAATGGTTTATATGTGATACATGATGACCAGTTGCAGATGGCTAACTCGGTTTATAACAATATTAAACTACATGACGAATGGATACATTTACTGCATAGACGTCTGGGGCACATTAATTTCAAAATGCTCAAACAAACTGTTGAATTGTCAGAGGGAGTAAAATTGAAACCCTGTAGCAAGTATTTAAACTGTAATCCCTGTAACCAGGAGAAAAGCAAGGTTAATCCAGCAAACAGACTGAATGGGTTTAAGACCCATAGAGGTTGTGTTTGCTGATATAATTAGTCCTAAGAAACCCAGTTTGGGAGGTGCCTGCTATGTTTTGAGTATAATGGATCATTACTCATGGTATGGTTTCTGCTATCTAATGAAAAACAAAACAGAAACCTTCCAACATTTCTTTAATTGGCTAAGGTTTGCAGAAAGAAAAATGAAACATAAGATAATTACTTTAGTTACAGATAACGGGACTGAGTTTATTAACAATAGTTTCCAAACAATGTTGAAATTGGCTGGTGTCGAGCATAAGCGTTCTGCACCTTACAGGCCACAACACAACTTTTTTATAGAACAAAGAGGGCAAATGTTACAAGCTATGGCTCGCACTATGTTATCTGATTTAGATTTGCCTGAAACACTGTGGGGTGAAGCCATAATGTGTGCCAACCATGTGTTAAACAATGTGGTGAACACAACAACCAGTGAATTGCCATTCACTCGTTGACATGGCAGAAAACCAAATTTAAGCTACCTACACACATTTGGAGCTCCAGCATGGGTGCATATTCCCTCACAAGTAAGACTGAAAGGGAACATAGAGCTAGGAAATTAATTTTCGTAGGTTACAAGGCCAACCAAAGATCATTTAGATTCTGGGATCGAGGCAAAGCTAATGTTTACTGTAGGCTAGTGCTAAATTTCTTGAGCACGTTGGGTGGCATAAACTAGAACAGGAATCCAACAATGATGTTGTTATCGACACCCAAGTAGTCCCTAATGATGACATAGTTAAACCATCAATAGCCATTAAAAAGGAAGAACAGGCACAGGAGGAAGTAGAAGAACAGGAGCAGGTGGAACAGGAGAGTCCACCAGTAAGCCCTGAGTTGCCTAGATGTTCAACCCGTGTAACACGACCACCAGATAGATATCAGGCTAGTGTTGTATGCCAAGTAAATACAGTTCCTACTAACTATAATGAACTGAAACTATCCTGCTAAGGATCACGCTGCTTGGCAGGAAGCAATGGATAAGGAACTGAAATCTTTACAAAGTTTAGAGGTATATGAAAATGCCAGGTTACCACCAGGTAAGCATGCCATAGGGTGTAAGTGGATTTATAAACTTAAAACAGGTGTAGATGGGCCTGTTACCCATAAAACCAGGTTAGTAGCACAAGGGTTCGATCAGTCAGACAGCAAATGACTATGATGAGGTGTTTGCACCTAGTCTGAAGGCTACCACATTACAAGCAGCATTAGTGTGGACAGCTAAGGAGAAATACATTGTAAATCATTTGGATGTGGAGACGGCATATCTTCATGCACCGTTGCAACATACTATATATTTAAAGAAGCCTTTGGGAATAAAAACTGATAACAAAACTGATTGCTGGAGATTAAAAAAGAGTCTTTATGGCTTGAAGCAATCAGGCTATGAATGGAACTAGTGCATAGTGAAGGAATTAGCTAAGATAGGTTTTGTAGCTGGCATGGCTGATCCATGTTTATTCAAAAAGGATAGTGATGGTGTAATTTCATTGTTGCTATTGTTCACTGATGACATAGCATTAATCACTAAGACTGAGCAAGAAGCTACTGAGATTATTTCAATGTTAGAGAAGAAATTTAAAATAAAACATTTAGGAGAGATTAAACAGTATCTTGGTTTAAAAAATAGATAAAACTGGGGGAGGATACAAAATCTCACAGGCAGATAAAATTAACCAGTTACTGAATAATTTAAAAATGGAACTTTGTAATCCGGCTAAAACACCGATGAGCCAGGAGTTTAGCCACAGTGATGTGCAAAGTCCTGTTTTTTGATAAAGACATTTATCAATCACTGATTGGTAGCTTATCTTATCTTAGTAATTGATCAAGGCCAGACAGCATATAGTGTTAACCAATTAGCCAGGTTTAATACTGAATCTACTGAAAGGCATGGCAAGCTGCTAAGTGTGTATTGAGATATCTTAAACAAACGATGCATTATGCATTATATTTGTAGCCTAAGGATGAATTAAGTTTAACTCCATATGCCGATGCAAGTTTCGCTACAGACGTACCTACACGTAAATCAATGTCAGGTACTGTAATGTTATTAGGAAAAATGTTAATTGGATGGCGGTCTATTCAAAAAAACATCTAAGCTTATCAACAATGGAGGCTGAATTCTCATGTTTGTCTCTATTATGTATGGATTTCGTTTGTTATAAACTATTGATTGATATGGGAATTAATGTAAATGAACCTATTGTTGTATATGAAGACAACCAATCAGCAATTCCGATGGCTTCCAATCTCGCTGTTAAGACAAGATCAAAACACACTGATCTAAGATATCTAAATGTGAGACAATGTGTTCAAAGTAAAATGATTACACTGGAGTATTGCATGTCAGAGAATAACATTGCAGATCATTTTACAAAAGCCCAAGGCACTGTAAAACAGGGGTCCCCAACCGCCGGTCCGCGGACCGGTACCAGGCCGCGGAACAAGCCTTACCGGGCCGCTGGTTGCTGGGCGCCGCCATTTTTTTTGACGAAAAATCACTTCCGATGACGTCACCGGAAGTGATTTTTCGTCAAAAAAAGATGGCGGCGCCCAGCTGACGCCGGAACCGGGCCGCGGCGCCCAGCTGACGCTGGAACCGGGCCGCGGCGTCGAAAAGGTTGGGGATCCCTGCTGTAAAACATAAGACTTGCATTTTAAATGTTAATCTAATATTTAGGGAGAGGATAGAAAGGCATCATACTCTGATTAGAGATTTCAGGAGAAATTCTTTTTTTTTTTCATTATAAGGAATGAGATAGAGGGATAATAAAGGATGGGCAAAAGATACAAATATAATGATTTAAATTAAGATGGATTGAATAAGATAGAATTATGAAGAGTGAAATGTGTGGAGAAGTATATATAGAAGATACAGAATGGTAAACAAAATAGGTAATGATTTCTAAGATGAGCATGAATATAATTAAAGCCCATATAAAGAGAGGTACCGGGGGCCAAGTTACTTTACTAAAAGATTTTTTATATGTTTGTTTGTGTCTGTTTATGTTTTTGAGAAGTATTGGTGAAACCTTTTAGAAACACAGAAAGAGAATGACGATAATCAAGTCAGAAAGAAATAGAGGACAAGAGATGTTTTTATGCTCATTTAGAAATGGTTTAAAATAGAATTGTATTGTATAAGATAAGGTTTTATCTGACTTGTAAAATTTATAATGGAAAAAGGTTCAAATATGTAATGGTTGATGATGATTTGTTTGTTTTTGAAATTAATAAAACTTGTTTAAAAAAAAAAGACTTGCTGTGAGGAATATGGACTTAAACTGTAAGGTTTTATATATTGTCCTACCCAAAGGGGAGAATGTTAGGAATGATAGTCACCTAACAGTTGGGTTGGCAATATATAAACCAGGATAGTTAATTTAAGATTGTTGTATCTTAAAGAGAATGCTGTAATTGTGATCGGCTGAGGTTCCTCCAACGGCCATAAGATGGATCCAGAAACCTGGTTTGTTCTTGCATTTCCTGTATTGCCGTTTTGCCTGATTGTCATTCTGCTTGGATTGCTGTGAGTCTTGCAACTGTTAGCAAACTCCGTTTACTGAACTTTGTTTATGATACTGGACTTCATTTCTGGATTATCCCTGGACTGATACTAACTGCTTTAACCATGTATGATTTGGACTGTTTCTTGGACTTTGTTTACCCATTTACTGGAAGTAAAACCTACATTTTATTATTCAGTGTATCTGTATGCTGGTTGTGTGTTATTCAACATCACTCTCACTATGTTTCCCTGAGTGCAATCATTCTCCTAACAGAGAATACCTCAACACCACCTATTCAGTGACTGAGTACAATATATACTATAGAATAGAATAACAGAGTTGGAAGGGACCTTGGAGGTCTTCTAGTCCAATCCCTTGATATATATGCATAATAGATCATACTTATTATATGTAAAAATGAAAATACCACAGATAGAAATTAAGTGTCTAATATTTTTGTTAATGTACTTTAGATATGATAATCATTTGTGTTTTTTATTGTACTTATTTCAAGGCACTACTGTTCATTGATGATCTGAACATGCCAGTTGCAGAAATATATGGATCCAAGCCACCATTAGAGTTCATCCGTCAGTTTGTGGAGTTGGGAGGATTTTATGACACTAAACACCTTGAATGGAAAGTATGTTTAATATGGGTAACATTTCTTTTGTTATTTTTGATTTTTGTTAAATTAAGATCTTTTCATTAAAAATTTGTCATGTAAATATAGTATTCTGGATCAGTTGAAATTTATTCCCCATGTTAGTCAGTCTATATTCTTAGGCACATAGGTTTAGGAGAGAAATTAGGATTTTTAAATTCATTTTTAAAGTACAGGTAATCCTCAAGCTACAAATGTAATGGAGCCTTTAAATTACATTAATAATCTGAGGATTCATTAATTGGAACTCATTAAATGAACAAGCCTCATCCCTCCTCTCCCCAAAGCATTTGTTAATCAAATGTGTGGGTCATTAAGAGTGCATGGGGTACCTCAGGAGCGGGGAAGACCATGGGAGGCCTAGTGCAGGGACAAGACTACTGCCTCCAGCCACCAAAGGCCTCCTTCCACCCACTGAGAGATCCCATGCTCCTCTTTCCACCCTTGGGGTCCCAAGCTGTTTGTGTTCTGACCAAGGCTTCCTGAGACACCAACAAACACACATAAAATCCAAACCTCTTTTATTTTAGTTCAATGGCTATGAATTATCGTCATTCACAGCCGAGAATGAGTCTTAACCAGTTATAATTAGTCCCAGGGACGGCTGCCAAAGTTCTTCGAGAGACTTCTGATAAGAATGCACCTTATCTTACTTGAATGACTAAAGTCCCAATTACTCTTTACAAAACCAAACAGAGAACAAATTCACCACAGATCTTTCAGGGTCCAAACCGATCAGAGTGAACGACGTTGCTCCCTGCAAAGGTTTTCCTGCCATTGCACTTCCTATATACCTTATGGGAGAGGCAATCACCTCCAAGTCTTAATCCTGAGTCGCCCCTTTTGTCTTAGCTGCTCTTGCCTTCTGGCAGCTCTGTGGACACACGCACTGGGAACAGGCTCCCCTTGTTCCTCTGCCTTGCTGCTGCCAGATTCTGGAGGCTACGGAGTCAGCACATAACTCCCAGATGGTCCTGGCCCCATCTATGTATTGGACGCAGGACCCTCATCCGAGTCCTCCCAGACTCCCGGACTGGTTCCTGTTCTTCCCCACTGTCCGATTCTGCTGCTGTCTTCACAGCCTGCCGGTGAACCACAACAATTTGGGCCTTTCCTTCCCAACCCCTCTTCGATCACTTACCTTTGGTGCCACATTTGCCTCCTGTGCAGCCTTGGGTGCTGGAGCCATTGTCAGCAGGCAGAAAAGTGCTGGGCTAGCCTCTCACCTTCCCCACCGAGCCCCAGCCTCTCTCAGAAGTGGGCACAGCCCTATCCCTTGGCGTGAAGTGCTGAACCACCTGGATTTCCCCAATTATGCTACCATGAAACTGCAGAGCTTGTTGTGCATTGGCTCTACACCCCTCACACCGACTGTTGCAGCCTGCAGGTGCCTTCCTGCCTGCCAGATCTCCTGCCCTGATTTCAGAAGTTGCATGCTGAGGATCTAGAGAGCTTGGCATGCCTCTTCCCTGCACCCCTCCCTTGCCAGGCACACATCGCAAGATAATCCATTCTGTTTTCCAGTTCTGTCTCATTTCTCCACACAGTTCAAGACACTCTTTTTTCGCTGGAGAAATGGAAAAGCTGTGTTGCAAAAGGAAAAAAACATGTAGGGAAACTAAAGAAGAATAATCCAAAATCATTGCTTTCCCCAATGCAGACTCAGTGCTCAAGTCTGCCAAGATCCTTCTGAATTTTGAGCTAATCTTCTAAAGTATTGAAGTATATCAGAGTTTTAAGTAAATTAATTTGTTGTGTTCACCTTTGATTTAGCTCTTAGAATTGCAGACCTTTTAGTTACTATCTTGATTTTTCAATTCAGATTTTTAATTATACAGTCAGCAGCTATCTTGAGTTTGTGAGCTATATTAGTTACATTATGAATTATACTACAGTTATATTACGGATGATTTGATACACATTTTTCCATTTTAAAGTTGTTTTTTCTTGGGATTATTTAATAAAATTTTTAATGAGCCTGAAGTATTTCTGAGGAGATTTGTATTTTTATCTATATTTGTGATGTATGAAGCTCTGTACTTATCCTAGGAACAGATGGATTTCTTTTAATTGCATTAGAACCTTTTTCATAAGAATGTATACGTTCATTATCAATTATCGTGAACCAGTAAAACAATATTATAAATATGTTGATTTATAGGTTGTTGATTTTTTAAATTGCTATCTTATGTATTTTTCTAATAGCATGTTCAGGACATTGCCACAGTTGCATGCTGTACACCTCTAAACGTAGGAAGTAATGAGATTAGTACTCGTCTTCTGTCCCATTTTTGCATCTTAGTTTTGCCTGCAACTTCCTTACAGTCTTTGCAACGCATTTTCCAGGTAACTATCCCAAAGACCTTTATTTATTTAGTTTTACAAAGAGCAAAAAACCCTAACTGAAAATTATAACAATAGCAATAGTACTTAGATTTATATATCACTCCATAGTGCTTTACAGCACTCTCTGGGCAGTTTACAGAGCCAGCATATTGCCCCAAACAATCGGGTCCCCATTTTACTGGCCTCAGAAGGATGGAAGTCAATCTTGAGCTGGAAAGAATTGAACTCCTGGCTATGGGCAGAGTTTGCCTACAATACTGCATTCTAACCAGTGCCTCACTAGGGCTTTTAGAAATACCCTTATATAAAAAAGGAATTGAAGACTGAAAAATTGCTGAACACTAGAACAGATAATGATGGCACTTACAATCAATTTAGCAACCTTTTTAGAAATATGCAGTTACACAGGTTGACTCAGCCTTCCATCCTTCCAAGGTGGGTAAAATGAGGACCCAAATTGTTGGGGGCAATATGCTGACTGTAAACCACTTTGAGAGGGCTGTAAAGCACTATAAAGCAGTATATAAGTCTAAGTACTATTGCTATTGCTACTGTCAGCTAAGAGAAGAAGAGTTACCTTTGAGCAGTTGTGAGAAAGGGTTAGAAAATACATTGTTAAATCATCTCACCACAAAATCTAGAAGAGAGCAAAAATGCATTAGGGACTATTTCTAGCAGCTAGTAGGGACAAAGTTTATCATCTGGAATATTTTTAAATTGTCCTTCTAATAACAAAAGTGGCAAATATAGTAGGCAGGATTGAAATATTTGCTGCTTGAAATATTGCATTACATTACTTTTTTTTTTTTGCAATATTTCAAGTTTACTGATAATGTTGTGTTCTTGTGGAAGACAGGCTTGCACCTGCTTGGTTTGGGCAAGTATAATCATGTTCAAAATCAAACCCTGCAGGGTAGCAAAGGCCCATCAAGACCCTTGTAACTTCCAGATGCTCAGACAGCCCTGCAACAGCATCAAATGTGTGTGTGTGTGTGTGTGTGTGTGT